ACCTATAGGCTTTAAGTTCACGCGCAAGCACAAATGCAAAAAAGTGATAATCGGAAAAATGCAAAAATCCGAGCATGGAGGGGAACCGAACCAACAACTTCGAACAAACCGTGCCAACCAGAGTCCATCACGCTATCCACTCGACCATCCGACCACCGCTGTACGTGAATGTCAACGACTCTGATGAAACTTCCTTGTGCTTTTGAGCACTTATTATATACAATTTTTGGTATTGGCTTTATTCCACGCTGTTTTCAACGTTCAGGTGAAGAAAACCTTCTATTGTGCGTCCACTTAACATAACGAGTGATATAAACCACGTTGAAGGTGTGAAAACTCCGATTTCTGAAGTTTTTTTCACTCCTTTTTTGGCATTCAGAGGGCCGCTCAGAAAAAATGGAGCCTAGTTTTGTACTCCATGCATGTGCCCCTTTATCATGCAAAAAACCGTTTTCAAAAAGGGCTCCATGTCCTGAAAGACCTTCCTGGTTAGTGAGCGGGGCATGCACCAAAGTGGGCGGAGTTTGTTGCGAGACTGCAACTCGGTTCCAAGAAGCCATGGAGACCGGGAAAAAAGTTAGAAGCCTGCGAAAGGAACGAGGTCAATATCTACTATTGGTGGGCGAGCATTCATTGATGTAGGCGTAGTTTGTTGCCCAGCTTATGAAGCGATTCTAGAAAGTTCTAGAGAGCGGAGGAAAATTGGATAGAGGCCGATGAAGGAAATTAGATGAGCTCTTAAGGGTGGGCGGAGCATGCAACATGTGCGCAGTTTGCCGTCAAGCATATAAATCGCTCAGAGACAGTTTAGAGATCGGGGAAAACGTAGGAGAGATTGGCGAGGAAGAAAAAGGTGGGTGTCCGAAATGGGCAGAGTTTACCACGAGATTTATATTAGGTTGGCAAGAAAGTTCTGCGACACTCTTTCTAAAATTTTCTTTTTTTCTGAAAATCATAGGTAACATTTATGACTAACAAATGGTAGAGCATTCTCGAGGCTTTAATCCACGAGGTGGATATAAGTGCTGCAGTCAGTAGTTATCCAAGAAAATTCAAAAAACCTCGACCACTAGTAAATCCATACTCCGAGTCACTGTCTAGTACAAATGTCTCCATAACTATGGATTCGTGTCAAAGACCAACACTATCTGCAATAGCTTCAATAGGCATGTCGTTCACCGCTACAGCGTGTTTCACCTTTACCAGCGCTTTCGATCTTTTGATATTTTTATAAGAAGCCAGCAGCGTCCCACACACTCCATTACAGGTAGGGCTCTTACGGAAGCTCCACTACAAATTCTTCGTTATGGGCACCATTGTGTAGGTAGAGGTCTAGGCTGCGAAACTCCAGAAGCTGGCCGAGGCAGCTCGTCAGGAGCCCTCGTACCGCGACAATATTTATTTCTTTCATGACATTGCGAATCACCATGATCCGAAATGAGCCCGGTAAGAAATTCTGGAGCTGCGGCAAGATTTCTTACCTCTCTTAGCGTATTCCCCTGGTCGAGCTATAAATGACTGCCACCTATCCTGGACCTTAAATCATCATCTTGATGACGAAATAATTAGACGATCAACTCCAACTCGAAAGTGAGGTCGCCTCCTTTCTCGACACTCCGCTGGGTTTTGGCAAAGGCAGCAATCAATTTTTTGAGCGTTGAAGACAAGTGGTGGACACTATGGTAGATATATGACTGGTCAGGAGTTGTAAACAAAAAAGATAAAATTAAAACAAAAATTTGAAAGAGTGTCGCAGAACTTTCTTGCCAACCTAATAAATCGGCTAAGAGGGAGGTTAAAGCCATCGGTGAGGGTCGGTAGATATAGCTTACGAGGGAAGGTCGGCCATTTGCAATGAGTCGTATACCGTTGAAGTCGCCTCGAGGCGCTGAGCTCAGAACTGCCTTCCTTATCTGCTAAACGATTCTCTGAACGTAGTTATAAAGCAAGGAAGCGCAGTGGCAGTGCCCCGAACTCGCGAGCAAGAGGTCGTGGGAACGGCTCCTCGGAGAGTCTGTTTCTTTTGTGCTTCGTGAAGATGTAGCCAGAAAGCTTCTAACTTCTTAATTTATCAACTTTGCCGTTAGTTCCCTGTACGAAAAAATTTCGAGCAGTTCCTTGCAGGTTTGGGCAGTAGTCGTCCATGTATGAACATGGTGCCCGTAATGCACGTGTCAGGCTTTTTCGCGGCAAACAGGCGTGATATTCGTGTTCAGGAGATCAAACTACCCTTGGAGATAAGTTTCCTACCGAATCTGAGATTTTGACCCAACCCTAAAAAATGAGGTGAGTCAACCATCATATCATCAACCTATCGTTGAACTCTTGGCCTTCATTAGCCACTGCTTTGGTCAAGAGATTCCTATGATGCGAAAGAAGAAGAGAAATCTGAATCATGGTCACACGGTTCGCCTCCCCAGACTGGCGCAACCCATGTGGTGTCAATGGCGAACATACTGATCTGTAACCGAGATCGTGCAGATCCTCGATAATTGTCGAATGAATGCACATAAGCGTGGTTGTTAACCTATGACTGGTAGCAATCGGCTGCGCCTTTAGGAAGTTGAGTAAACGCTCGTCAGTCATCATCTACTGCCGTCCAGCTCCGTACTCTGAACAAAATATCTCCAGTTGCGAGGCAATAGGGCCAACGGGACACCATGGCCTAGTGAATGACATCCCTCCTGACTACAGCACAGATGCTAGCTGCAACGACACAAACGGAGTGGCTTTACAGGAGCTCGAAAAATAAAATAGGTCAAAAGATGGGTTGATTCAGAGAGAAGTTTGAAGCAGTAAACGCTGCACGAAGCCTTCATTTACGCTTCTGCCGAAACCTCCGAAGATACACTGCAGCAATCAAATGCCAAAACTACTGGAAAGAGTTTTCGATTTTTCCTAAAGAACTTTGTTCAAAGTGTCGCAGGATTTTCTGGACAACCCAATACTATGAACGAAAAGGACAGCGAATTTTGTTTGTTCTCGTAAATAATTCGAAACCCGAAGGACTAATGTGCGTTCAAATGCTCACCATGCATCTGTCACAAATGTTGGCGACGAGGACGATTTCACTAGGTTCTCGGAGTGCCTTCCCTGAGAACGCATGGCCTTTCTGAATTGTAGGAATAAAACTTCTCTCTTCTGCTGCATCCTAGTCTTTCGATGTTTGTACCTATTCTCCATTTGAACTTTTGATCCGATTCGATTCGCTACCGAACGTGTCTGCTCCAAGATGCACTTTTCTTTCTTTCCATGCGCTCCCTTGTACCGCCAGATCTCCCCTCGAGAGCAGCTTTCGTTAGTTGGTTTCCCTTCAGAAACTGCACTTGCTCGTGTGAAGCCTTGTACGTTGTCTGTGATAACAACTGACATACTCATGTTGGGGAAGAATACAAGGTTTCCCGGGAAGGATCCCTTCGGAATAGCAAGCCGGTATGCACTGCATCTAACAGGTTGCCGGGAAAGTCTTTGCGCATTTGTTACCTTTTGGTCATTCTTTTGACGGCTCCTTTCTTTCGCTGTTTTGTAATTTGACACGGCCAATACCAATCCTGACAGAATCACCAATTTTTTGGTTCAAGATTTTTTTCAAAAAATCTCCCACGGAAAAACTCCGCCTTCATTCCCACAAATACCTTACTTTAGGTCTTCCAGCTTCATGAGGATAGAAAAAAGAACGGAATATAAGCGTTGGTTTTGATAATAATTATGATAACCAGTTCGACTATGAAAATTTTGAATTCCCGCTGTAAAACTTGTTAGTGGCAACTGTTAGCGGCGTGGAATCCAACACGTGCAAACGTGTCGAAAGCACATGAACACGATTCACGTTGGACCTTTCCATGAAGTTATGCACCTGCCATGCAATTCGTCACGAGAACGCTTCCACTTAGCCCTCCGGGCCAGATCTGATCTTACAGAGTAGCCTTTCCAGAAGCTGTTCCTCTTTAGCATTTCAATGTTTTCGCTTAAAACTATGCACATGGTATGACCATGCCCAACACCTGTTCACAAGAAAAGATTGAGCGGGCTTTCCTTTAGGCAGATTTCACAGTGAAAAGGCAGCCCATTAGTAATTAAGGTAGAGATGGTCAGTGGTGCGGATGATGATAAAACATTAGAAACGGTCCAACCTTCTAAACGGCCAGAGACGCGGGAAGGGGCGTGTGGTGACGATGGGCCATGCTAGATCGCCTGGGACTCATCCCTCGCTGCGAATCGCTTGTTGGGGCTCACCATTACTGGGCCCGCCGTTAGTCTACTAGGTAGGCTTCCCCTTCTTCCACCTTCTACTGACCATCCTATAAATAAATTTCTTAGTAAGTTGTGACTTTTCTGATTTCGTGTCCAGTTTCGGGCAGCATATGTCTTGGTCCATCTACAGTATTTGTGTAGCATATTTTTTACATTTCAGAGACATGTCAAGGACGGCAGCTTTCTATGGAGTAGCGTTTCAGATATGTGACGTTTG